GAGGGGGCACAATCCTGGATACACTGAAGTGTATAGTAAAAATAATTTATCAATTTTTAGTAAACTGCCAAGCAGCACTTGGAATTTTAAAGAATTAAGAATAAAAGCCTGACTTTCACTGCAACTACAAGTGAAACAACTTTTGATTCCTACATTTGCATATGCTTTGCGGTTGCTAACAAAAACTAGGATAGTGAAGGTAATACTGCCAAGTATGATGGCTAACTTTATTAATGGTATACTAATAGTACCTTTTGTCCTTTTTCATTGTCTGGTAAGTAACAGATTCGTGGGAACCCTGAGGCATAATAAACTTTCCCAGGATGGGGATGTTCCTTGTCCTATAGCAATGGAAAGAAAGGATAACAGATTATAAACAAGGTTTTGCTCAAAGGGACAACGTGCACTCTTAAAGTTCCATCAGTGTTTTTGGGGGGGGTCATTGTCATAAAATAAGTCCGAAAAACTGAAAAAAAAGTTCTGTGGACTGTTCTTGCAGTACATTGAAATGTTGATTTTTTTCTCAAACAAATCAAAAACTTACTTGTATTCCAGTTCTGAAGTCATAAGTAATTACAATCATCCCATGGCCATGATAACCTGGTAGACTCTGACGGCTTCTTGACACATCCATGGTGCCATCTTTGGGTTGATTACCATGCTTAATGCCATGAATAGCCTTACATGTTGGACACTGGATCCAGCCATTCTGACAACAAAAAGAGAAGAAACAAAAGCTGCCTTTACACCGAGTCAGAATATGGTGATAAATTTAAATAACTATTGTTCTGCACTGACTAGCGACTGACTAGCCTTGTGTTCACGTCGAAAGATAAAAGCGTTTTCACATGTATGAGAGGCTAGTCAGTCGGTAGTCAGAGCAAAACAGTGATTATTCAATATTAGTTGCCATATTTTGATTTGCCATACTTCTCCTTAGTAAGATCACTTTTCATGTTTCTGGAACAAATCATACTATGATTCCTTAGATATGGCTTCTGATATTTCATCAAACTTAATTACAAAATCAAACTGGGTGATGAAAGCTTAAACATGAGTTTGAAGCACTCCAAGGAATGATGGTGTGTGCGCACTGCCAATGCAACCTGGGTTGGAATCCAGGGCTTTCTCCAGGTTCTCCAGTTTTCCTCCCTCCTCAAAAATGAATGTTTGACTTTTATTTTACCTAGTTGGAGCCTGGCTGTGTTTGGATTGTCCCACACTGTCATATAACAGCCAAAGCTTAACAGATTTTTTAAAGATCAAGTTTCAGGCATGCATAATGCCCTTTGCAACTTACGCTACCAAAAAATACATCCCAAGTTTCATCGTTACCGAAAGTGGCCCAGATTGTGTGTACAGCTCAGGTGTAACCTTTAAATACAAATCCTAAATCACTTGACGAAGCCTTTTTTTAAATTCTTTTGTGCAGGAACTCTCAAAATGAATCTTAAGCTGAGAAGAAGTGGTCATAACTGAAGAAGCATTTCAAAAGAAAAACAAAACAAAACAAAACAAAACAAAACAAACAAAAAAAAAGAAAGAAATAATATCTACCTTGGAACCTGATTTCATGAACTCCAGAAGGCATGTCCCATGAAACCTGTGCTTGCATTTTTTTAACTCCTTGATGTCAGAGTCTGGTGGCTTGCTACTGGTGTCATGGAAACCAGAAACATCTTTTAACTTTTCAAAACAGATGGAACAATCCTAGGGGGAAAAAGGATTTTAACACTAAGTTATGGAATAAAGGAAAGCTTGGTTTAGAGAGAAAATATTTGCCTTCTGTCATTGAGAATCTAAGGGTAATGTGAGGGATTGAGTGAAAAATTTGAGGTTAAACTTGATAAATGTATAAACTCACCAAATCCAAACTATACTTAAAAGCATTATTTCATGGATACTGAAGCGAATTTGAGAGAGGTTTATTACAATTCTTCTGACTGGCTATTCAAAGTAATAACCATCTTGTCTGAGTAATAAAAGGTGCAAGTGAATGAGTCATAATACATAGAAGTACACTAGTTAGTTCCATTGGTGTTTTTTTTTTTTTTGATTGTTAATCTGACACTGATTATACAACTTTGCTTCACTGGCCATGTAAAATCACTCTTATTATATTCTTGATGGACAACATGACACTGTTTCAATGACAGTTTCAACAGCTCGGCTTAGGATACATGTAAAATGATTGATAAATCAAATTTTACTTGGTGACATGTAATTACCTTGCTACTCGCAACAAGTATAGAGTCTTCTTACTAAGTGGCAAATATCTTAAGGATTTTATGAACATGTGAAATGGGCAGAATTCCCAACTTGGGGATGGTGAAGTACTCTTTTATGAGGGGAGGGGGGGGGGCTAAGAAGCATTTGCCAAACCATGAATTTTTTTTGGATTCTTGTAGAAAGGGGGGAGGGGAGGGGGTAAATCCCCCAGCATCCCTTGCTTCATGATCCAAGCATCTTAGAGGGTGCACACAGCCTGTTTGACTTTGTCAACAAAAAGCTAAAATTTCATACACATTTTGTCAATAATGATAATCATCTTATGAAAAGGAAAAATTGAAATTGTCTTAAAATTCTCAGTCTATGTATTTTGTTTTTCTCACTAAAAGGTTAAAGCCTGCGGCTGTATTAATGACTTTTTGCGAGACGATCCCCATATGTGATTATTTTCTTCCCTCCTGCCATATCCGACATGACACTTGACATCATTACATCAAATACCTTGCATACCATCATGCACAGATACAAACAGCAAACAACATCAGATATAAATAGTAGATTGTATACATATTTGTAGATACCCGTGAATTTTTTATTCAGGACATTAAATATATTTGATGAAAGCTCCATCTCTGTCTCACAGATAAACAAATGCCATCCGCTACTAGAATATTTAACTCAAAAATACATGTACGCAAGTGATCATTAGTAATTAGCTTTGCTTTACAGGTAAATAAACTTTATTTATTTTTTATTACTGTGGCACAGCTTTCCTTAACCTATTTTCTATTTATGTTGTTGTTTTAAGTCGTCATTGACTAAAATTTAAGGCTGGCTTTTAAGTTGGTTTATGATTTTTGGATTCGCATCATCTCATTGCATGACTTATTAATGCACATTAATGCCATTCACTTCACATACTTTTCAGATACTTAGTAGGCTCATTTACCCATCAATTAAAACTTTGAAGCGTGCGAATTTTCATGAATGGAGTTCGTGAGCATAGCCATAGTTGAAAAGGAGCCAAGAACGAGTTAACAGGTTTTTAAAAAAAAAAACTTGTTTAGCCTCCGAGAGGTGGTTCCAAGGTCAGGGGGTAATTATTGTAAGTGATAAAACACCTTTTTTTCAATACATTGCAAACTAAATTAAATTGATAGCTGATATTCAATGATGATAGCTAGTTTCAAGTTGAAAAAGTCCAGTTGCATGCGATGTTGCACTGTGTGTCAGTGTACCTTAAGTCTTTCCCTTGATTCAAGGGGGTTTTCTCAGGGTTCTAATACATGTAATTTAATTCCCCTCCACGAAACCAAACATGCTAAATTTTAATTCGATCTGTGAGTTAGCAGTACCCTAACTTTGATCAACACAGAGATATTTTAGGGTATTATTAAAAGCTTTGAAAGTATAATTTACAAGTTGTTGCATAGAGGGGAATTGGAATTTCCAAGGGGTGGGGGGAGGGGGGTCTTACAAGGGTATATTGTTTAATTACATAATATTTCCCATACCTCCTTCATACTTCTTCCCAATACCTCTCCCCATGGAGTGGGATTGTAATTTCCCAAGGGTGGGGAGGGTCTGAGGAGGGTATATTGTGAAGTACCTTATCAAACTTATTAATAATAATTATTAATAATTCATGAGGAAAACACAACAGAAATCACGACCGTGAAGAGTGTTGTAAATCAGATACAGAATCCTGTTCATTTGCATAAACTTTAAGATGGATTTTCTTGGCCAGATTCACTTTTATCTTGAAAATTATGGCGAAACACAAAAGAACTAACCTAGACGTTTGATAAGTAATCTACAGTATTCGTGTCCGTGTTGTATCCAATATACAAACTCTTGGCTACACCTCAAGTTTGTATATCGGATACGGCATGGCCCCTCATACTGTATATATATTACTAAACAAATAATTTATGATTCCCCCATGGACTGTTACACAGGGTTAGCCTCATTTTAGCATCAAAATATTAAGAAAAACCAATAGTAAAGTAAAGAATGCACCACTTGAATAATACAAACACCTTGAAATTCCATGAACCTTAAATAGAACACAATGAGGCTACAGTAACCCTGAGCGACCGACAAAACAGTGAACAGAAAATAGAGAAAACAAAATTTTAGTACTCACTGACATTTTTTTACCTGGTCTGTAGATTCTTTAACATCCTTACAGAATGATTTCAGAGGATCCTTGTCATGTTGTGTGTTCAGCTTGAATTTCTTTCTTTTATATTCGTCTCTTTGTTTTAATGGTGATTTAAGTTCTGATGTTCTACTTCTTGATACTTTATCATTTTCATCTCCAAAACTTGTACCACCAATTGCACCAGCACCATAAGACAACTGTTGCTTGGTATGACTTTGAGTTTGTGTAACAGGACGATCTCTTTGTTTTGAGGAGGGTCCTGAGGCTGTGCTTAGTGAAGAGCTGTGTACTGGGGATTTACTTGATGATGATGGGCTGAATCCTGATTTCATATTTGTTGTGTTGTTACTATGGAAACTAATATGCCCACTGTCAAGCGGGTATGGAGTTGTATGACTTCTCCGAATAGGACGTTCAAAATGTGTATACTTATTAATTTGTACCTTCTTCTTAAAATCTACTAAATTAGGTATTCCTATTGGTGTATTTTCAAGGTCTAGGATAGATCTATTTAGGTGTTCTTTTTCTAGGTATTGTGCTGTTAACATGTCATATGCAGTCCATGTGTTAAAATCAGATAACCATTCCCATACGATTCCAATAGATGCACATTGATGACTACTAGGATAAGGCTTCCTTCTGATATGCCTGGCTGTACCTTTATCAAGAAGCAATAAAGATTAAGAACAAAATAAAAGTTGTGCAATAGACCTTTCCCAAATTTGCTTGACTGATYACGAAACAATGGTTTCAAGTCGAGGTTGAACTTGATGAATAAAAGAATCAAGTCCAGTCTCGACTTCAAACCATTATTTCTCGGTCAGTCAAGCGAATTTGGGAAAGGTCTATTCTCTCTTTGAATAGAGGCTTTGTACCATCACGTGATGGCAGCCATGTTAGATGGCAGGAGCAATACAATCGTTTTGCATGAGAAAGAATTCTATCCCCAAGAGCAAACATTTTATTCTTCTGCCATCCAATCACAAGCAGTGGTGCAAAGCCTCTATAGCCTCTGTAAGAAATTTCCTGAAAGTGCGAAAACAGGAAGAGTGCTAACACTGCATAGTACTCATAATTCTCGTCGTGAAATGTAATTGATTGGTTCAGTGCATATTTTCAGTTATAAATGCCTGTTTACAGTAGTTTTTCTGGCATACCAGGTCATTCACATACCTGCAACATGTTGCCGCGATAAAAAATATGTGTTACAAGAAAACATTTTTTGAACAAAAAAGTTGTCTCGTGTAACACCACCTTATGGCATCATGGAATTGCCAATGCGATAAAGCAGGGTTTCATAGATGTCAATCAAGGCGTTTCCATGACATTACTTTGGCATATGAAAACCTTGTTCCCACCCAAAATATGTAAGAGATTCTCTTCTATATAGAATATTTACGTCAAAACGACATACAAGCAAAATATGGCTTTACACTCACCAGTTTCAAGCCGGGTTTGAGACATATTTTTCAAGCTTACTTTATAACATGACAAGTTAGGGTCAGCTTGGCCAACATCGACAACATCTTTGTTGTTTTTGAAAGCATTTTCGAGGAAATGAGAAACTTCTGGGCTGTAGGGAACCCAGAGGTTTAGATCAAATTCCCATTCCCAGACAATAAAATTCATTTTAGAGCAGAAAACTACTTGCGAACGTTAAATTTTGCTTTCAAAAATGAAAGTAATTGTAAGTTGAAAATAATGGCGCTTCTTGTTTATATTGGTAATACGTTCATGTTCTATATACACCAAACTGCCAATTCGGACTATATATTTTTCTTGTATTTATGTGATTTGGCATCATTTGCTGTCATTGGGTGTCATTCCCCATCATTCGCCACCATTCCCCTTCATTCCCGTCAGTCACCGTCATAAGACATCTCACTATCTTTGACCATGATTGTCCCTGATTGACATTCATTC